TTTTCGGAAAATCATTTTTGGACTTTGCTTTACTGAAAGAATGGATTTTGGAAGAAAAATGAGACCAGGGTTTCCTAGGGTTTTTATACTATTGGATACAGCTATGTCGACGAGTCGAGCCGAAAAAAAAAAAAGCTCGGGCTCGACTCGAGCTTTTTTGGTCGAGCTTTTTTCGGGCCCGAGCCGAGCCGAGCCCGGCCAAAAAAAATAAGGCTCGACCCGAGCCTTAGCTGGCCGAGCTCAGTCGGCTCGATTTTTTATTTTTATTTTTTTCAGCTATTTTAACTGTCTGCTCACTTTAATTTTTTTTTAAATTATTTTTAATTAATTACGGGCTCGGGCCTACCCCCAAAGGGGCACAGTGAGCTGGGCTAGGCTCGGGCTTTTTCGGGCCGGGGCCGAGCCGACGAGCTTTTTTGCCACCACTAATTGGATACGATTGGGAGTTCGAAACTATGCAGCTTCTAGATAAGTTAAGAGAAAATGAAAACATAGTACTATTTGTCTATCATTATTTCAATTTTTTTTTTCTTGAATTCATTTTCAATAACATATTTTTCGAAAATTCACTATTCAAAAACTCATTTTTTAACTTTAATGATAGACTGATAGACAGATACGGCATAATAATGTTTGGTTGGGGGCCCGAGCTCCTTGTTATAAAAGAGAATAAAAGATAAGAAAGTATGTATATTATAATGAGAATCAAAACCTTATATTTATAGGGAAGAATTAGAGATACAATTGTCATAATTTTTAGAACTGAATCGGTATAATTGACATTCACTAATAAACTTACCATTTACAACACCCCTTTGAATGACACATTATAAAATATATGTCTCGTTAAAACTTTTTCTGATAAAAAAATCAAATAGGACAAAAAAGTCAAACGAAGGGAAAATAGTACAATTATTTTGGAGTATTAAAGATAAATATTGGATCATTAAAACCTTACTAGGAAAATTCAGTGTGATATACAGCTACTTCCCTTGATATTGATTACTGAAAATTTTTGAAACAACGCATTGCAATCTTGTGAACCAATTCTCTTGAATGTAGATGCTGGCATGCTTTTGTAAATAAATCAGCAACATTGTCATTTGAGCGAATTTGTTGAATATCGATGTCGTCATTCTTCTGAAACCCTTGTGTATGAAAAAATTTTGGAAAAATAAGTTTCGTCATGTCACCTTGACATAGCCTCCTTTGAGTTATGCAATACAAACAGTATTGTTTTTATACAAAATTATTGGAATACCTTTTGTTAAAGTTAATCTACATGATGCTTGGATATGATAGATTATATTCCTCAACCATACATATTCTCGGCCTACTTTATAGATTGCAATAATTTCAGAATGATTTGAGGATGTTGTTGTTAAGGATTATTTTATAGATTTTCATGATATAGTTGTTCCTCCATGTGTAAACAGATATCCTGTTTGTGCTTTGGCTTTATGTGGGTCAGAGAAATAACATGCATCTGTATATCCCACTAAAATAGATCTTGATTTTTGATAATAGAATAATCCAAAATCAATAATACCCATTAGATAACGAAAAATATGTTTTAACACCATTTTAATGTCTGTGTGTTGTTGTAAAACTATAGCTTACAAGGAAATTTATAGAAAAAACTATGTCGAATCGAGTGCAGTTAGCAGAATAAGTCAATACTCCAATTGCACTAAGATATGGTACTTTAGGACCAATAACATTTTCTCCATTTTCAAGTGGACAAAATGCAACTTTTTTTCACATCAAATGATCGAGCAACCATAGATGATGTCAATGGATGTGCATTATCCATATAAAGTCGTTTTAAGACTTTTCTGTATATATAGATTGATGAACAAATAATCTTTCTAGAAAATATTCAATCTGCAATCCGAGACAGAATTTTATTTTCTTACATTTTTCATCTCAAGCTCATTTTTCAAATAATCTGCAATTTTGTTGAGCTCTTCAAAAGTTCAAATTAAATTTAAATCATCAACATAAGCTACTACAATTGCAAATCTAATATTTGTTTTCTTTATAAAAACACATGGACAGACATCGTCATTTTATAACCATCTTTCAACAAATATTCGCTAAGACGATTATATCACATGCGTCTGGATTGTTTCAATCCATATAATATTATTTGCAGTTTAATTGAGTACATGATTCTCGAGCACGTGTCATTTGTTCCAGCACTTTAAATCTTTCAAGGACTTCATTTATCGCTATCAAGTGAACTATACAAATATACAGTTACTACATCTATAAGGCTCATATCAAGTCTTTGTGACACAGTCAAACTAATTAAGAATCTAAAAGTGATGGCTTCCATTACGCAAGAATATGTTTCCTTATAATCAAATTCTGGTCTTTGTGACATTGAGCTACGAGTCGGATTTTGTATCTTGTAATTTTTCGTCCAAAAATCCATTTGTAACAAACATGGATTACGTTTTTAGGTGTTCGAACTACAAGTCTAAACACTTTTTGTTTCTCTAAAGAATTCAATTACGCATGTATATCTTCTTTCCATTTTGGCCAATCATTTCTATGTGAACAGTCTTTAACATACTGTGATTCATGACCCTCATTTTGCATAATATCAAGAAACAAGTTAAAGTCAAAAAAATGTCTATAACAACATTATTTCGTTCCCATAATTTATGCCCATGTTTGACACTCATTCTCATTTTTTTTCTCTTTCCTCATTACAACCACATATTCTCTAAATAAAATAATATTACACAAATCTAAAATTTTTCATCACTTTTCCACCACACATTCTCCTATCATTCACTATTCCAAAAATTATATTCTCATTT